TGTTCAGTTATTGCTCACCTGTGAGTGCAATCCCGAACCAGGGATTGAACTTGCATGCGCTATGTCACAAACCAATACTTTTATCCATTAGGCCAGGGGTTCTCAGCTGGTGGGGAATTCAACCCAGCAGGGAATTTCAGAGTTTCGGGGAGGGGGGACAGAATGGTAGACTCAAAATGTTAACTTTCGAACACAGCAAAGCAGTACAACTCGCAATGTGCATTAGTCCACACAACTGGGGGTTTTCTTTTCACTAGATCTTGTGTTTTTTTACCACTACAAAAATAATCCATGTAAATGTATACGTATTAATAGGGAAAAGAATGAAGATTTTCAATAGTATATGCATATTATTTGGAATGCACATTTTGAGTTGGACAATCTTGGAAAGTGGGGGGAATGACATCTTGACTTATAGTGAAAAGGGTGCATTGGTCAAAATAAGTTGAGAACGCTCAGCTATGAAGTGCCTCAATGATTAAGCAAAGTTGAATAGTGCCTTTAAACTATTGGTGAAATTTGTATAATTACCAGGCTTTTGTAATTTTATCTTGTTTTTCAAGAACAGAGCAACATTACATATAAGTGTTCATCAATTTCAATTGGGAATTTCATGTGTGTGTGTGTGTGTGTGTGTGTGAGGGGATTGGTGCCACAAATTGAAAGAGTAAAAATGCTAACTTTCAAACTCCTTAAGATGACACAACCCACAAGGTGCATCAGTCTGTGCAACTGAGATGTCACACTGGGTTTTATTTCAGCTAGATCTTGTGTTTTTGCCACCAAAAAAATAAGGGATATATATATATATATATATATATATATATATATATATATATATATATATATATATATAGGGAAAAGAATGAAGATTTTCAATAGTATATGCATATTATTTGGAATGCACCTTTTGAGTCGGACAATCTTGGAAAGACGGAAATGACATCTTGGCTTAGGGTGAAAAAAGTGCATCAGCCAAAATAAGTTGAGAATCACTGTCCTACGACAATTTGTTATAGTGAACTTGGAGCTTTAAATCTAATCTAGATGGTGCTTCTAAGTGGATTGATATACAAGGAAGGCCAAAGAGTACAACGGCCAAAACGTTGTGATAACAACAAAGATGAGGATAACAGTCCAAACATAAATAGTGTAAATAATGAAAACTCCTCATCCCAGAAATTAAACTTTGTAAATTTATATTAGACTGGTTTTGAATTAAGTGTTTTCTTTCTCCTAAATTGGTTGCAAAAGGACCCAGTTTATCCTGCTATTTAACCCACTGCTAGTAGAGAGAGAGAAGGAATGGATTCATGCCTTTCCAAAGTACATTCATTCTATATAAAGGCTAACTGCCCCAGGCAGAATTTGAACACGCAACATCAATTCCATTTTCGCCAATGTTAGCCATTTAGGCACCCCTGCCTATTTTATTATGCATTCAAAATTGTTTTCAACAAAACCAACCCACAAACATCAAATAACAAAACAAATTCACTTAACAAAAATTCCTTAATTGTTAAGGTCACAAATAATTTTATCAAATGATATTTTTGAAGATTCATTTTTAACCTTCTCAACATGTCAAGTTTCAATTGACATCAGAAGCAAACTGCCATCCAATAAAACAAAGATGACCTTTTCACCTGGAGACATAAAAAAAAAGACAAAACAAAAAACAAAACAAAACTTATAAACAATATATATATATCACACGACCTAGTCATATATATATATATATATACACACACACACACATATACTAGCAGCATGGCCCAGTGTTGCCCGTGCTCGATTCAAAAATCATACGACTCATACAGCAATCGCTATCACTTAAAATATTTTTGCCCTTCCTTGCCTTTAAAGGAGTGCCCTTTGCCATGCTGATGTTGCTACATCCCTTACTTCTTGCCTATCTCACACTGCAAATTTTTTCTAAGCTCTATACTAAACATTAAATCTGTTACGAAAAAAGAACTAAACAAAATGAACACAAAACGATCAGCTTTAAAAAAGGACTCGTAACTGGAAAAACCAATGAAAAAAGAATGTTAACAACAAATACTTTTTCACACCCAACCCAGTTCTGCGGAATCGGAATCAACATTGAGTTTAAGCAAGCGAATGAGCCAACTGGAGTAAAGTGCCATGCAGATTTAATTTTTCCCAGTTGTGACGAATGCAGCTATAGGCTCTCACTCTGGTCAGTACAAATGGTCGCAAACTACATAAAAAAAATCGATTATTTCCACTATCGATAGGAGTTGGGAAATGCAGTTTTGGCCTTCCCACTAACTTGGAGCATGTGCATGTAAATTTTGGTGCAAATCCATCAAAAATTGCAGCACAATCGTGCCTTTTATATATATATATATATATATATATATATATATATATATATATATATATATATAGCCCATTTCTATCAGTATTACTTGAATACCTGACCATACCTTTCTTCTCGATTTACAATGAAATTCTATATAAAAATCATTCACACTGGATTTACATTATACATTAATTAGGCTCAGTCACAAATAATTTAAATTTTTGGAAACCAATTGTAATGGCAAATGTATTATCCTAATTCCTAATTCATAGCAGTTAAAAATAAATTTTGATTAAAATACCGTTGATTTTGTACGGTAATGGCAGCATACACAATGGATTAACTGTTTAATACTCATTTTTTCACTACAAGTCTTTATAATAGAAGAGTTAAGAAAACACACACACACAATATATATATATATATATATATATATATTATATTAGAACAAAAACATCTTGAAATCGCTACACCATAGCTTTCATGTTTCAGCACTACATTGTGCCTCTTCAGGCGATGGTAAGTCATGATAGAGAACTTTCTATATTTATTTTTTTACATTAACACGAAAAGAAAATTTTAAAAGCCTTATCATCACCTGAAGAGGCACGATGTAGTAACACTAAAGATGTTGTGCAGTGATTTCAACAGGATTTTGTTCTAATAGAATAAAATGATAATACATTGCTCTACTTTGTATCGCGCACTCTTTTTAAAAAGTAAATGCTACAAACAGTGGAAAATTACTTCATCTGTTGTTTGTCTCATTTCGATATATACATATATCTCAATCAAAGGAAATGCTAAATATATCATTAAAGTGTTCAGCAATAATTTATTTTAGGTAGACAACTGCCTCCTCACACCGGAGTTATAAAATGGATCTATCTTTTTAATATTTTATATTAAGACCTGTTTGGATTATCTTTTACCACTTATGGATTTGATATTATGATATATATATATATATATATATATATATATATATATATATATATATATATATATATATATATAAATAATACACACATGCACAAACAAACTTTGATGCATATAGTACATTATTTTATTCGGGAGTTCTCTTTAGAAGTTATTCTAGTCAAGCATGTTTGAATGAATACCAATATACACATACATAAAATAAAAATGACCATCATGCCTAGTAAAAAGAGATTTAAAGTCCTAGTTATGACGATAAACTACATATGAGATTGGAGGTTTTCAGAAGCGTGGAACCACCTCTTAATTGTTGTTGATGTTCCTAGGTCCATCCTGAGACAGGGTGGAAGCACCTGTTGGGGGGTCACAGCTATGAGCAAATAATGAATCACCCCGCCACCAAAAAAATAAATAAATAAAAATTAAAAAATAAAAACACTAGGAAAGTATAAAAATGCCAGTAATACATTTAGGAAAAATTACCAAATTACAGAGAAACCCGGATATAAGAGAGATTTTCTCTGATCCCAAATTAGAGCCTGTGTTAATGTACAGTGTAACCCGGATATAAGAGAGTTGTCGGGACCGGATAAGAAGTCTCTTATATCCGGGTTTCTCTTATATCCGGGTTTGGTCTATTTTATATACATTAACACAGGTTCTAATTTGGGACCAGAGAAAATCTCTCTTATATCCGGGTTTCTCTTATATCAGGGTCTCTTATATCCGGGTTACACTCTATAATAGACCAAACCCGGATATAAGAGAAACACGGATATAAGAGACTTCTTCTCCGGTCCAGACAACTCTCTTATATCCGGGTTACACTGTACCAACGATACATTTTGATGGCATACAATTGCATTCAAAATATTTCGATTTATTTCAGCATTTATTTATAATTTTTAAACCCATATGCTGCAAAACAAAATCAACCAATCAGCTAAAGTGATTTATTAAATTATTTTTTGGGGGGAAATATACGTTTGAATGACAGAAAATGTGTGTTTTGTTTTTTTTTTTTGTTTTTTTTCTTATTTAATTCAATTAAATAAATCTCCTTTTCTGAAGAAAAGGAGGGCGAGAAAGAACTACATGTTTGGCCCACCAAGAATGTTCACGAGAATACGACGTGCATTTTTAAAAACAAATTACTTAAAAAAATAAATTCCTTACAATTCTTAGCTTACTATTGCACCAGGAGGAAACATTTTAGGTTAGAATTTACTACAATAAAAATGGTTGGTGAGAAATCTATTATAAGACAAACGATCTTCAATTAATAATAAATAAAAAAGATGTCAAGAGTGGAAAGTTTCGTTTTTAACTGCTCTACTTGAAGTCAATTGTTTATTGATAAAGGGAGGTAATTCAAAGCAAACAAGTCAGGAGTAACAGGAGAGGTAGAACATCACAATACTACACTTCAATTCCTTGACAGGCAGGGAAAAAATAGAAAGAAACACACCTAAAAAAAAAAAAACACACCTAAAAAAAAAAAAAAAAAAAAAAATATGGCCTAGGCGAAATAGACACATACATTTGAGATGATAGTATTGTTTTACTTACTAGATACAATATACACTAGGGAAAGCCATGGAACAGAACACATTATTCATGACTGTCATCATAAAAGATATGAAGATATTCGTACAAGAAAAATAGATTCAAGAGTCAGATACACACACATTATGAGACATAAATGCAAACACGCGCATAGATTTGAATAGACTGAGATAGATAGATAGATAGATAGATAGATGTGAACAGACTGAGACAGATAGATATATGTGAACAGACTGAGACAGATGGATGGATAGATGTGAACAGACTGAGATAGATGGATAGATGTGAACAGACTGAGATAGATGGATAGATGTGAACAGACTGAGATAGATGGATAGATGTGAACAGACTGAGATAGATGGATAGATGTGAACAGACTGAGATGGATAGATGGATAGATGTGAACAGACTGAGATAGATAGATGGATAGATGTGAACAGACTGAGATGGATAGATAGATGGATAGATGTGAACAGACTGAGATGGATAGATAGATGGATAGATGTGAACAGATGAGATGGATAGATAGATGGATAGATGTGAACAGACTGAGATAGATGGATAGATGTGAACAGACTGAGATAGATGGATAGAGATGATGAACAGACTGAGATAGATGGATAGATGATGAACAGACTGAGATAGATGGATAGATAGATATGAACAGACTGAGATAGATGGATAGATGATGAACAGATGAGATGATAGATGGATGGAACAGATAGATAGATGGATAGATGAACAGACTGAGATAGATGGATAGATAGATGAACAGACTGAGATAGATGGATAGATGTGAACAGACTGAGATAGATGGATAGATGATGGATGGATGGACAGATGGATGGATAGATGTGATGGATAGATGGATAGATGTGAACAGATGAGATATGGATGGATAGATGATGAACAGACTGAGATAGATGGATGATGGATAGATGAACAGATGAGATAGATGGATGGATAGATGAGATGGATGGATGGATGATGTGAACAGACTGAGATAGATGGATGGATGGATGGAACAGATGAGATAGATGGATGGATGGATAGATAGAGATAGAGATAGATGGATGGATAGATGGATGATGGAGGATGAGATAGATGGATGGATGGATGGATGAACAGACTGAGAGATGGATGGATAGATGTGAACAGATGAGATGGATAGATGAACAGATGATGGATAGATGTGACAGATAGATGGATAGATGTGAACAGACTGAGATAGATGGATGGATAGATGTGAACAGACTGAGATAGATGGATGGATAGATGTGAACAGACTGAGATAGATGGGATAGATGGAATAGATGAGATAGAATGATAGATGGATAGATGAACAGACTGAGATGGATGGATGATGAACAGACTGAGATAGATGGATAGATAGATATGACAGACAGACTGAGATGAGATAGATAGATGGATAGATGGATTGAACAGACTGAGATAGATAGATAGATGGATAGAGATGATAGATAGATAGATGAACAGACTGAGATAGATAGATAGATGGATAGATGTGAACAGACTGAGATAGATAGATAGATGGATAGATAGATGAACAGAGATAGATAGATGGATAGAGATAGATAGATGGATGTGAACAGACTGAGATAGATGGAGATAGATAGATAGATGGATAGATGAACAGACTGAGATAGATGGATAGATGAATAGAGATAGATAGATGAACAGAGAATAGATGGATAGATGAATAGATGAGATAGATAGATAGATGGATAGATAGATGAACAGACTGAGATAGATAGATAGATGGATAGATGTGAACAGACTGAGATAGATAGATAGATGGATAGATGTGAACAGACTGAGATAGATAGATAGATGGATAGATGTGAACAGACTGAGATAGATAGATAGATGGATAGATGTGAACAGACTGAGATAGATAGATAGATGGATAGATGTGAACAGACTGATGGAGATAGATAGATGGATAGATGGAATAGACTGAACAGACTGAGATAGATGGATAGATGAACAGACTGAGATAGATGGAGATGGATGATGAACAGACTGAGATAGATGGATGGATAGATGTGAACAGACTGAGATAGATAGATGGATAGATGTGAACAGACTGAGATAGATGGATAGATGTGAACAGACTGAGATAGATGGATAGATGTGAACAGACTGAGATAGATGGATAGATGTGAACAGACTGAGATAGATGGATAGATGTGAACAGACTGAGATAGATAGATAGATGGATAGATGTGAACAGACTGAGATAGATAGATAGATGGATAGATGTGAACAGACTGAGATAGATAGATAGATGGATAGATGTGAACAGACTGAGATAGATAGATAGATGGATAGATGTGAACAGACTGAGATAGATAGATAGATGGATAGATGTGAACAGACTGAGATAGATAGATAGATGGATAGATGTGAACAGACTGAGATAGATAAATTTAAATTTTTCCAACATTTGGATGTTTTTTTATTATTCTGTTCCTCGATCTAAGCTTTCGGATCACGTCAGCCATCATCAGAGTGGTTATCTGGACATTACAACAGAGAGATTACATATATATTTATATATGTTCACTGGGCTATTGTTTCCTTTGTGGGTTTAGCAATATGAAGTATTAATTGTAGGAGTTTAGATTTATAATCATGTATATGTAATTATTAAATAGTGTAGGTAATTAAAATAAGTGTATGCATATATCATATGTTATTGCTTATTTAATTTTTATTTTTATTTAATGTTTAATAGTTTCTTTATTTTTACCATGGTGTTATATATTGATATATACAGATCAGTCCTTTTCTATGATGCTGAAACTTGGACCCTGTACCACAAGCACATAAATCAACTTGACACCTTTCACATGCGCTGTCTTCATGTGATATAAAATGGAATGACAGGGTCAAGAATAGTGCAATACTGAAGAAATGTAACAACATAACAGGCAATGAAACCATTCTAGCAAAGATACAACTTAGGTGGGCTGGTCATGTTGTGAGAATGGACGTCCACTCTTATGCTACAAAGACAAATTGAAAGACAACTTGAAATGTCTCAGCTTTGATCTGAAAACCTGGGAAGCCCAAACATCAAACCGAAAGGAGTGGCGTAAGACATGTTTCATTAAGTTAAAGGGTTTTCAAGACAGTAGACTGAAGCACCATGATCAGCTTCATCGAGCTCTGAAGCAGAGACACCATCAAAATCCTGCTTTAACAAATTTCATCTGTCAGTGTAGCTTTGTCGCCCGTAACAAAAGGCTGGGATGGTATCACAATTAAAAAAGCACAAATGAAATATGTCTTTCACTTATCTGATTTTCTCCACAATAGCCTCTGCTAGCATGCATAAGTCGCATGCGAAAGATACCATCCAATGCTGACCCTTATTTATCATTCATGATAGGAGAGTCCACCAAATATTTTGAGATATTAATTATGGTAGGTTAAGTTCATTTTTGGATGTTTGTGTGTGCATATGTCTACATGTACGTATGCACATAAGTGTGTACTTTAATATTTGTTTCTTAATAAATTGAGTTCATATTTTATTTGTTTCTTTTATTATTTAAAGTTTTGTGTGTGTGTATATATATATATATATATATATATATATATATATATATATATTAAAGGTTTATGTTTATTTTATTTATATTTGTTTATTTTTAATTAGTGCTTAGATGGTAAAGTAAATATTTATTTATATGCCTACATTTACCTGTTATTTCAGTTTTCTTGTTTAAGACTATTTTATTTTTTTCATAACTAATTATTGCTAATTTTTTCTCTAAGCATAATTTGCAATTTTTGCTAATCATGCTGTATGGGGCTGCTCTTTTTATAATTTCCCCATTTGATTATGGTGGTGGGGATATTGTTTTCTTTTTGGTTCCATATATATTTTGATAGGGTAGTATTATTTTAATATGTGTTTCTTTTGCATGACATTTTATGGTTATACTATCTTATTTTCAAAATTATTTTATGTTGCCCCTATGTAAATATTTTGTTTGTGTTAATGTTATTATTTATGATGGCTTTGTATATTATGTTATTGGTTAAGCATTTATTGTTAAGTGGGTAATTTTCTTTGTTTCTGCAGTTACATTTAGTGGCATGGTTTTGCTGTACATTATTGCTATTGTAATCATTACTGGTTTAATTGAGTATATTTTTTTTATTGTGCTAAGTTATTATTTTCTCCATGTTATCTCTGCAGCTCTAAGTTTGGTTGTATTTTTGTTGATTATTTGCTGATTTTAGGGAAAGTGTTTGTCAATTATTTTGAAGAATATTTTCCCTATTTTTATTGTATTGTTGTAGGAGGGGTTGAACCAAATTATATTTCTTTTTCTATTGTTTTTGTTTGAATTATTTTTGTTTTTGTATTCTAGTTTGTTTGAATATCCACCATGTTTTTTTTTATTTTCATTGAAAATCTTTAGGCTACTAGAATTTGTTGACATTCTTTTATTTATAGATATGGGTATTTGTTTGAATATGTTTGTGGGGGAGGGGTTAGAATTTTTGCTAATGTATATTAGGTTGTTGCTTGGTACACACATGCACACAAACACACATATATATATATATATATATATATACACTTTAAAAATCAGGAGGTCAGTTGAATTCACTATTTTGGTTTCAACCTTACAGTATTCTCAGGCAATTTTTATCAGATGACCTCTTAACACTTTAATTTTTAAAAACTAACGAATGCTATATTATTATTTTCAAAAGTAAATAAAACGCTTGACATTGGGTGTAATAAAAAGGCTCCTTCTTCTCATTCTCCTCCATTGTATAGATAGGGGTCTGACTTGGGGAAATGTGCTAGTACTGAGGGATCATGGGATAGGAATGAAAGTTGGAAACTGCACAAGATGGATGAAATACTTTTATAAGCTGAGTGCCTTCAAAACAGGGATGATTATAAATCTCTCCAACTTCTCTAAAACTAGTTAGCATGTTGTCTCTGCTTCATTTAGACATTTAGCTCCATGTATCATTGTATAGATAGTGATCTGTCTTTTGTTTATTTTTTTTCTTTTCAATTTGTTTTATTTTCCTTCCTTTTTTTTGGTTTATTTATTGACTCTTTGTCTTTATTTTAATTCTCTTTTGTCACTTGGTAGACTGTGTTGGTGAAATTGTAATTGCAGGTTTTAATAATACTTTTGTTTGTTGTACTTATATAGGTTTATCCCTTGTTTTCTGTTAAGGATTGAGGTTTCTGGTTCCTTCTAGAGTTTATTTCAACTCTATACTTCAAACTTCCCTGCCCTAACTCTGAAATTTTATTCACTAATTAAATCTTGACCTCTTCAAATCTAGAATTAGCTGTCTATCCTGCATAGATACAATAACATCACATCTTGCCCTTTCTTACACTAAAACAGCTCCACACAGTAACCCTCTACCTTGAGTGGCTCTAAGGCCTCTCTTGGGTGAACATTAGTAAGAAAGAAAAAAAAACTCCAAAAATTTGTTTTTGTCAAACAGAAACACCATTTACTGAAAATAAAAAATGTAATAAAGCTAAATACATTATTTAATTAGAAAACTTCTAATTGCTTTTATAAATAAGATATATTAAAGACACTATTGTCTTAAGAAAACAAATTTTTTTTTGATGAATTTTAATAAGAATTGTTTTCATTTATTTTAAATTTTAATTAGAAAAATTTATTAAATCTATATAATAAATGTGAAAAGGTCTGTGTTTCACATTTTTCAATTAAAGGGACACAACTCTCTGAAAAATTTCTACATCTGGAGCCATGTTCAAAGACTCAGCCTGAAAACAGAGTTAGAATCACATGTGACCTTGAAGCAGGAAAATTTACTGTGTTGCTGTTGCAGCTTGGCAATGGAACCATCAAAATGGGCCAAAATGAAGATATTTCACTCCAAATGGTTGTGGAGCTTCAGTCTAAAGTGTCCAAGACTTGATTAACCATGTTTATCCAAACATTAAACACCATTTCATGGATTCAAACTGGCTTTGTGATATCACCATATTAGCTCCCAAGAATCAAACTGTGGGTAGCATCAACTGGAAACTTCTCCAAGAAATTCCAAAAGAAAGCATGAAATACTTTTCCACTGACACTCTGGTTGAACAAGAGCAGCCAGTGAATTATCCAATCGAGTTCATGAACTCGATGAATCCTCCTCGAATGCCATCACACAAACTGGAACTAAAAGAAAATGTGCCATTTGTGCTATTGAGAAATCTAGATCCTCCAAAGCATTGTAATGAAACAAGGTTAATTGTCAAGAAGATGCTTCCTCATCTCTTGGAAGCAGAGATCCTTACTGGTCCAGGAGAGGAGGAAAGTGTTTTAATTCCAAGAATCCCTTTAATTCCTCCAGATCTTTTTTTTGAGTTCAAAAGACTTCTTTTCAGTGAGAGTGAGCTATGCAATATCAATGAATAAGTCCCAAAGACAATCAGTGAAAGTAACTGGACTTCATTGATGGAACCCTGATTTTCACATGGTCTGTTCTATGTTGGTTGTTCAAAGGTTGGAAATAGAAACAAGCTATTTGTACCGACTCTGAATGGGAAAACTAAAAATGTTTATTCTGCAGCTTTGCAATAAGTTCCAAATAGACAAATTATGTCATGGTTTTGATGAAAACTGTTGTTTTAAAAAATATTGATCAAGTTTAATAAAATTTAATATGTACTCAATGCATGAAGTGTCATTGTTGAGCCAAAGGCCTAATACAGTGGCTTTTAAGCTAGTTTTAAATAAAAACTTCAAGATTTTTCATTTTTAAAAATTCAATTTAAATCTTAGGTATTGTGTTTTTTGTTGAGGTGCCTGCCTCTCTTTCTCTCTCTATATATTTGTGTGTGGTGGGGTGTCTTGTTTGTTATGTATATAAGAGTACTCTATTCTTAAATCGAGCTTTGTAACAAAAAATAACAATGAGAAATAAAAATAAAAATATTATTTTTTTATGTTTTATATACAGTCAATGACAAAATTATTTGTACATCCATCCATTTTGAATAGAATCTAATACTTGTATGCTGCCAGTTTTTTTTTTATATGTTAATGTAAGCATTCTGAGAGCAAAGGAAATATTTGTTGCAGATTACTTCCACTATGCAGAGAACAAATCACTCTAAGTTCAGACTCGAATATCAGGGGCAGAAAGAAATGCCGAAAACTTGATTCGCAGGTACCATCTCACAAATCACAATGCATGTAACCAGTCAGAAAAATAACTCACTCTCTGACAAATGCAGTAGCCAAAATACACAATCAACACCCCCCACCCCCCGATTCAAGAACACCAACTGCTTTTATCGGCTGAGCATTTTTTCCATTCGTCAACAACTGGGAGAGGACACCCAGTTTTTGCATATCAAAATACATTTATAGCAACTCCTGCGATGGACTTGTTTTTTATAATTTAAATATTCTATCTTCAGCAAGTCATACAGAATACATGCCCTTTTCTTTTGGTAAGTAATTTTCTTTTTCGCCACATTTTCCATCATAGGATACACGCAACATGCTTTTGCTTGGTTTGATGAGGTAAATCGCCGTTTTCTTCACTATAGTTAATAAGCACAAAAAATAAATGAATATAAAACTCAATTTTCAGAACAATAGGTTAAATTCAACAAATTTGACAGGTGAATCATTATATGAGTATTAGATTCTGAGAAATGGATAAAAATATTCAAAATTGATGGGTGTATGAAAAATTTTGTCGTTGACTGTATATAAAACACAAAAAAATAACAATTTAAATTAACTGGAGTTTTTTTTGTTTTTAAATCGCTAAAAATCACTGATTTTAGCACCATTTTTAGTCATCTATCAGCACAATGTAATTCTCCTTATTAAAATTT